GTTCTTTTGTCTGACAGTAACTTGTATGTGTATTTTGTATAATACTTCATTATTTACTGTTTTTTGTCAGCCTTTCCAGTTTATTATCGGTTCTTATATCGTATACAATACCAACCATAAAATATACTCATTTTATGGCTGGCTGATTGTGAGATAGAAAACATACTTTAGAAATTATAGGCCTTTCCATAAATTACAATCTTATTACAAGATATTTTGAAAGTTTTTTTGAACAGTAAACACAATACACCACCCACAATAAAATCTTTTTTTGTTATGAAATAATATCAAATAATTTTGACAAGAAAAAAGGTCACAAACAAACAACCAACCAATGAGATATATGTGAAAGGAAACTTGAGCTAACTTCTCCAGCCTGAATATTATAGATAGGTCTATTTTTACAATAACGCAACTCGAGCGCTCTGTTATTTGTGATCCAACGAAAGCAGCTGACATCAACCTACACCAACTTTTTTTTATTTTTATCTATTACTATTTAAATGTCGTCTTTTAATAACATAGGCGATCGACAAATCCGAGGTCAAGCAGAAATTCTTGGTCGCAAACACAGGAGAAAAATAATAACACATAATACCGCAGTTGATTGATTATTAGTGTGAACTATTTTTGTAACGGCAAAAACATATTACCTTGTTTGGATACCCCGTAATTATTATTATTCAACAAATTTTAAAAATGAATTATCTAAATACTTGGGTAATTAAAAAATATCTTGGGGTTTTTTGCTTCGGGAAATCACGGTATCTGTAAATTGGTCGGTAATTTCCCTTGAGTGTATTTATGAGTAACGGCATTACCGAAATAGCATATAGATTCAAAATATTACATAAACAATAGTAATCGTGACTTCAGCGCTCTCACAGGGAGTTTTATCAAGGACCGATACGTTTGAGATATGGTACCATTTGATTCTTAACAGTTGCCCAAGGTGGCTCTATTACAACTTATTTAATGCGTTCATGTGCCGGTGGTACGGCATACACTGCAAGTTTCGTTTCTGTACTCAAGTCATGATTGTAGAAAACCCTGTGTTTTAATTTTCAGAATGCTCTTGAGGCGCTGCTAATTCTATGCTGAATTTCAGAGTCAATATTGGCTTTTTCCGAAATCAAACTGCCGAGATAATTGAATTCGGCTACATATTCCAATAGTTCTTCTCCGATTTTTATAGCACTGTTATGATTTTCCAGGGGAGTGCACATGATTTTAGTTTTATCGATGTTCAGCTTAAGGCCCAAAGTCTTGTATGCCCAGGTATATGTGTTCAGCATTTCCTGTAATTGCTGTATTGTTTTTGCGACTAGAGCGCAGTCATCAGCGTATTGAAGTTCTGTGATGAATTTTATACGTATTTTTACCCTGAGTCTTTTTATGTTGAACAGACAGCCGTCATACCTGTATCTGACACTCATTCCTCTTGTATGTAGTATGAACAATTTTTGTATTTACTTACAAATAAATTTATAAATAGTTTTGCGATTTTTATGATTTTCCCACATGATTTTAGTTTTATTGATGTTCAGCTTAAAACCCGAAACCTCGTAGACCTAACCTAACCTAACCGTAGCATTTTTTGTAATTAAGTACTGTAACGTATTTGCAACTAGAGCGCAGTCATCAGCGTATTGAAGTTCTGTCATGAATTTTATATGTGTTACATCTTTTTATGTTCAACAGAATGCCGTCGTATCTGTATCTAATGCCCATTCCTCTTTCCTGCCGTTTGCTGTCCACTATAATGCTGCCCCAGCTATACAGGTTTGAAAAACTGATATTAGTTCTCCATGTATATAATCATTTGTCAGTGACAGTAAACTAACAATAAACCGAAGGTTTTTTTTTTAAATATCCAGGATTTTTAAAGAAATGAACCCCAACGTTTAAATATTATTTTATTGAACCGTTTTTTAAACCTTTGAAACCACTGTTACCACCACTTACATAGTTTTTATACTAATATAAATACCTTCACTTTTTAAGTTCGAATGTTACATGCTGCTTTTCAATATTATGTTTCGATTTCTACTGAAAGTGTGTACTGATACACAAGACTGATGATGGCATATATATATTATAGATCAGAAGTGAACTTACTTATACTTTCAACTTCAAATAATATGTTAGTCAAAGAGGGATTTGGATGATTGGAAATTGGAGAGATTATTGGATGTTCCAATTAACGTGTGTTCCAATTAAAGAAGTTGCACTCTAATTCATATTGGCCTGCCTGCACAATAGATTTTAATAATGAATTGAGCAGTGGTCTGAGCAATTGATCACAGGTTTAACGACGGTATGATTGTAAAAAAATGCGTTAAATTAGCTTGGTTTGGTAAAATAAACGATCGATGACATTCTTCATTGACAGCGATCTTCATTTCCAAGACAACTCTGATTTTTTTTATTACATGGTTATTTGGATGAAATCTTAAAATATTTAACGGAACTAATATCAATATTTTTCTTTTTTATGATTATATTTATAAAAATAACAGTTTTTCTACAAATTCTTTAAATTCTTCTCTATTTATAGTTTATATTTGTTTGTTGTTTTTTTCTCTGTCAATATGTGCATTTGTGCATGTTTAGAGGGAAAAAATAATTTCTATTATTTATTAAAATGTATATACAGGGTGAGTCTTAAGTAAGTGCAAATATTTCAGGGCTGGTAGATCTCTACCAAAGAAACATAATAATATTTTCTCTTTACGGGTTTTCAAATATTAATTACCGAGTTATTTTGAAAATTTGAAAAAAAAATGATTTTTTTGGTCAAATTATGAACCACTGGTTTTTTCTGGGGTCTCTTTCTTGTAAATTTAATCCACTACCTATGTTGCCAATTACTATGAAATTATGTTTTTTAACTAATTCCAAAAAATTTATAAAAAAATTCCAAATGTTCAAAAAAAATTAGGCGTGTTGCTGGGGTCGAAATATATTACCCCTAAAATATTTGCACTTATTTATGAGTCACCCTGTATGTACATATTTATGGACTATTGAGATGGGAAGTTTTTTCCATTATTAATATCCTTTCAAATTTTTTTAATTTTTTAGTTATTTCCTTTATTCTTTTTAATTTTCTTTCTGTTGAAATGTTATTGGATATATTTTATAAGATTTTACAGTTTTTATTTTTTTTTTCATTATCCATTTGTTCAAAAAAAATATTGTATTGTCGTATTTATTTGTTCTAGGAAGATCATAAATTCCAGTTATTAAGTTATTTCTAAAATCTCTTCACATCAATATAAAAAAAATGGTGTTTTTTTAAACACTGTTTTGTTCTTACTAGTACTAATTTTGTTGGGATAGCATATTAAATAAGCAAATTATGTCTAGTCAACACTTACCTACCTATAATACATACTAAAGAAGAATAACTAAAAGGAATTTTGAATGAAATTCCTATCAAATCGAACATTATTAGAAACAGATAATAAAAATCTGAAAACCAGATCATATGTTTAAATAGTCTTTGTTTTCAAATCCCATAGAGGCACTTCAATTTTATTTGTACTTCGAGTTATCAACGACTGTCAAAAATATAAATGGCTTGTTCTAAGAATTCTTTTGAAAACTGGTTTTATCGTTTTCATATGGAAATGAAGTAGTATGGTCAATAACAGATTCAGATTCAATATAAATTAAATTAGTAAAAGGATATTCGACATATATTATTCTCTTTAAATTTAAAACTCTCTCTGTCTTTAATTTTAAAACATACTATTTAATATTATACTTATTTTTCCTCTAGATTTCTTGATTCAGTCTGTTCCATTACAGCAATATAAATAACATTTGTACTTGTAGTCCTGAAGAACTACAATCACAAATTAACGTACTAAATACAGCCAGCTATAAAGTAGGTCTCAAAATTAATTTAGAAAAAACTAAAGTAATGTACAACGAACTGGTAGACAGAAAGACGTTCTAGTAAATAACACAACACTGAAAATAGTAGAAGAATATGTATATATTTGGGGCAACTAATACACAGCTCGGGATCTATACTGCCAGAAATCAACAGAAGAATTAAGTTAGCATGGAAGAAATTCAATCATATTCAAATCTAGAATTCCGCTTTATCTAAAGAAGAGAACATTCGACCAATGTGTACTACCAGTCATGGCCTATGCATGCGAGACCTGGACATTTAAAACGGACATTATAAGGAAACTGCAGGTTGCACAACGCTCAATGCAACGAAATATGCTGGGAATAACCAAGAGAGGTCGTAAAAGAATAGAATGGATACGATAAAAGACCCAGGTAATAGATGTCATCCACAGAATCAAATCTCTCAAGTGGCAATGGGCAGGACACCTGGCAAGAAGGACGGACAACAGATGGACCACAAAAATTACAGCATGATACCCACGAGGAATCAAGAGACCTAAAGAAAGACCAAACTTGAGATGGGACCATGATATTAGGAAATTAGCAGGGATAACTTGGGCCCGCATAGTCAAAAATAGACAACAATAGGCAAATCAGCAAGATCCTCACATCAGTCGCAGAGAGTATGCCTTATTGTTTGGCAGTCTTACTGTTTTATGAATCAGTGAACAAAATAAAAACACTACTTCCAAAACGCTTTACATTTAACACTGGATGAGCGTTTTACTAACCATGTTATCTTCATGTGCAGATAGTTTTAATCATCTGCTGATGATTCTAATATCTAACTATTCTAACGGCATTTTTGTTTAATATTTTTATAGAAGTCTGCAGTATTGTTTCTATTATACCATTATTAACTTTTCTTCGTGCAGTGAATGAATATTAATTGTTGATGTTATTTTTTATTTGCTCTATTTTATATTATTTATTCTTTTTTTTATTGGGTTCATTCAAACTTACTCTATATCTTATCTTCTTTTGTCGTATGTCAAATTATTAATATCAGAGTTTTATAATTATACTCTTATTACTAGTATTTGTAATGTATTAATAATTTGTTTTTTTTTCAGGTGAGTTATTCCGGTGTTATCATTGTTCCAGAGAACTTAGGATACCTAGTAAGTAAAATTAAGTTTTTACTAGATATATGTCTTAAGTTGGTTCAATAAATGTAACTAGAAGAGTCAGAATAAGTATACGTATTGAAATTATACCAAAAATAAAGCCAATATCTTTCAAAATTGGTTGGTGTTGAGACATTGACTAAATTTAAAAATTACTTAGAAAATTCAGATTAAAAGTAAAAAAATTACCTTATTTGCTTAGAGCGTCGTTTTATCACTTTACATCAAACCGCAACACTACACTTAACAACACTGCATTTCATTGCGATTCTTGATAGCACTACACTTAAAGAAAAATATAAAATTTTCAAATTTTTTTTTCGCAAAAAAACCTCATGAGCGTGTCTCTGGGGTCGCGAACACTACCAGTTAAAATACTGGCACTTATTTCTGGGACACTCTGTATAGCGATTCAGAGTTTGGTTTGATTAATAGAACGTTTTTAGCCTTAACTCCAGTTAAAAATGTTGCCGAAGTTTTTGTGTATATAAATTTCGAATCTATGACAAATTATTTTTGGCATAAATAGAGAAAATAATCTAATGAAAGTATGATAAAACTGAAATTAGTTTATTTTTCTCAAGAAGGAGGAAAATGATTAAATTTCGGAGTTGGCAAGCACATTCGCACTTATTAGAGACTCGCTACTTATTTCGTAAATACTGATTTCTGACTATTTTGACAATTAGTAAAATTCTATTTAGTGTTCAGCATCAATAAATACCTCCTGCCAAGCATTTCCCAAACTTCGAACACGATGAACAGTTCATAATAGTATATAGTTCACAATAATCAACAAAGCCGCCTTTGTCATATTAAAAAATAACTTCAAACAGAAGTGATAATAATTGCAAATTGTTGGTGGTAAGTTCATTTCGCTCTTAAAAATTAACCAAGGCATATATTGACATGATCCAAAAAACAAAATACTCAGGAGACATATAAAATTATATTTTAGGAAAAGTTACACACGAAACTATTGCACAGGGTGTTATAAAGTTAAGGTAAAAAACAACCCCTCGTTTAACCGTGTATAATATGCTGATATAAATATAACAGATACATAAGATATAGTATAACAGAGTTTACGAGTTAAAGTTGATATAATTATATACAGCTTACTAAAAGATTTATGAAAATAGAGCTAATAATGACAAAAATATAACATTTTTAATTTGACCAAAAATTTCTCCGTTGCGTTTTTTTGCATCTGGGTGTAGAAGATTCTGATTTAGGAGTAATATGTTACTTAAAACAACATAAAAATTCAGATGCCATCCTTTACTTAAATGAAGTATTTTGTTTCGTTACGCTGTTATTAAGTCTGTAAAATCTAACCAATAACAACATGTAACAGCAAGAAAGAGACATAAAATGATTTTATTACTTTTCCTACGATCCATGACGAAAAAACATATTTTGTCCGCTTATATAAGTGGCAGAGACTAGAGAGCGACTACACGTGGCTGTTAAACTTGTTTTCGAACAATTCAGGTCGAATAAAAATGTACTTGTGTGTATGTGCATGTGCCTATATTTATTTATCTGTTTGTGATACAACATAACAAAAGCTTTTTTCGCCATAGAATTGGGATAATCGAGCCAACGAAACAATCAATCAAAAACGTACTTGAAAGCATATCCGGTTGACTCGTGGGTGGTGCTACGCGAAAGGATGTAAACAACACCTTAAACGGAGTACTCGAAATAACATTACGTGATTCATTCATGCGACTATTACCGGAGGTTGTGCCGTAACTGAATTTGTAACTGAATTTGGTTAATGAATTTTATTTAAAAATAGAAATAAGCTGTGGTCATCGAACACAAACGGCGCGGCGCCAAAGTCCAGAGTTGTCTTCGACATGACCATCAATGGCATTTTATGTCGAATGACATCAATTATTGGTATTTTCAAGTGAACTCGGGCGTAGTTTCTTTTTCAGAACATACGAGTATTATGAACTTACGTCCAATGCTTCCCGTTTAGCTATATAGCCAAAGGTCATCGAGGGTACATCTGTGGTGGCACGCAGGACATTGAAGTAAATGTTCCATGTCCTGAAAGGCGCCGCAGTCGCATTTGCCGTCATTTCTGTCCAGCAAACCCCATTTGATCAAACTGGATTTTACTGGGGCCACCCCAGTTCTGATACGGTTGAGCATTCTCCAGGTTTTCCAGTCGCTAGAAACACCATTTGGCTGGTCCTCTCTAAATGGGTAGTGGGAGGGAGGTTCGTCCAGGGGGTGGCTTAGGAAACGGCGTCTGGATTTAAGTATACCTGTGCCGCACTCTTGGTCAAAAATTGAGTGTCGAGCATCAAAGGTTTGTTTTAGCTTCTCAGTATGCTTATGAACTTTTCTGCGTAAATCGGGGTTTGTAAAACCTGCAGCCTTGTAAAGTTTTTCTAAGGGAGTAGGTTTCATACAACCTGTCACTATTCTGCATGTCTCATTCAGGCTGATGTTCACCTTTTTTGCATGGGCAGATCTACACCACACTGGACAGGCATATTCAGCAGTTGAGAAACATAGAGCTTGGTTTGGTTCCCTATTTACTATTGGTCAGCTTCCTTATAAGGGAATTTCGTGCTTCTACTTTATAAGTGTTATGAGTATTATGCAATATTTGGGGTTTAAAATAATAATATCTACTAGGTTTCTTAATAAAACCTAAAACCTAATTTAATAATAATTTTTTAATACAACTTAACCACACTCACTCACTGAAAAAAAGGATCTCTCAGTCGAAATGAATATGACTTTGACCCAAAAGATTAGCGCTTTTCAATAGGGCCAAGAACGACGTTTCTTTGCCCAAAGCATTAACTATCTTTTCATAAGCTTTAAAAAATTACTTTAGAGAATAGAAGAATCTATCTGTCCAAAGTATTTCACTCTTGACCCAAAATTAATATGCAAAGAAGTTCTTGCTACAAGAACAATAGTCTCTTTGATTCATGCAAAAATTCTTGATTGAAAAGGGACATTTCTTGATTAAAGAGACACTTTTCTTAAACCAATAGCGAATACCATTGACTCAACTAAAATTTATTTTGATCTAAGAGAAGTTTATACATCATATACAGGCATATACAGGCATATTACGAGGTATATTATTTTCTGATAAATTTAGGTTTTCCTAGTCTGTAGTAAGTAAAGTGATATTATTTTCCTCGATAGTAGGTAGTTATTTCTGCTTCTTCACTCCTTGGTATTTTTTGGCGTGGTTCATCTCTCTACAAATTACAAAAAAATGTTACATCACGATTAATCAAAGCAAAGCAAACAAATTATTAAAATTTAAAGCTTTGGTCACATTTTGAATTTTTTAATACGACTACTTGAACTTCTAAAATTTTTGTAATTATTTGCATAAAAAAATCGATGATACCTATATTCTTATACTATCTATAGTCACGCATGCATTATCTAAACAGGTGCATTAGGTAAATGTCTCTTACCTTCAAATATAGCAAATAAATGCTCTAATTTCCATTTTTTTTAGAAACTCCTTTAAAAAATCCATATATCCTAAAATTTGTCCATAAAAATGACAAATGCATGTTAATAACGATCACTAATTTGTTATACGATATGCATTTAAAAAGCAAATTATGCAAAATTCCAAGTAGAAAATTCCAAGCAACAAAACCCGTGCGTACTATGATGTGCGACCTATGAAATGCGACGTGAGACTGATCGGACTGCCGACTAATTGTATATACCGTCCTTTATCATCGTCTTGGCGTGTCGTTATTATTTTTCATCAAAAGAGTATTTAGCTATTGGAAAAATGGCCATGTTTCCTGAATGAAGTACTTCCTAGCGTATTTTTGTTATTATCTTAAAACAAAGTAACTTGCACTTGGTTGAATGAAAATAGATTCAAGAGAAATTTTCGAATTTTTCAAGAGAACAAGTTTTCTTGAGTTAAGAGTGTTTTTCTTCAGGTAAAATATTTTCTTTTACGCTAAAATAAATTCTCTTGCCACTAATTTTTTTTTCAAGAACGATGACGGCTTTAGTTCAAGTCTATCTTTTTTATCAGTGCTGGTACGAAAAACGCGCATCTTAAAATTTTGATGTATTTTAGAGTTTTATATATAGATATATTGTGTTCTAGCCGACCAATTTTGATGATTTTTAAGCAATTTGTAGCTAAATTATTTGTCTTGTTTGAGTATCTCTTTCTAAATTGAAAATTAATGTTCCCACCTGATTCCTGAACACTCTGACATTGCTGGTAATGACCGAGCAGACAAACTGGCTAACGAGGCAACGCTCTTACAGAATATTGAAGGAACTCCATCCGTTGTCGATTTCAGAGATTTCCACAAAAAAGTGTTCTTCAGTATACTTCAAAATGAATGGGACATCCTCGAAGGAACTAATAAACTTAGATCACATGCCACTTCTTCATCTGGCATAATATCATATATTCTTGCCTCTTGGCCTCTTGAACGTGGATCTTTCTGTAAATTTGTTAAAACCCTCACAGGATACTCATATCTTACCAAATCATATATGATCAGAAATGAACCCCCTCCACAATGCACCTTATGCAATAACATGTCAATGAGACACATTCTTTTTGAATGCTTACCTGTTGCCTCCTATAGGTCTAGATCGTTTAATGCTGTTACCTATAATATTTTCGCGCCTTTTAACATTTCGAAGATTAATAAAGTTATGGAATTCTTAGACAGCATCAACATAACGAAAAAACTTTAATTTCTAACTTAAAATAATTTAAAATAACCTCATATTAAATAAAGCTTATTATTGAGCGCTAAAAAACCCTCGCTGTTGACGCGCTCTATAAATCAATACCTCTCTCTCTCTCAATCTCTCTCAGTTGGGCTATGTACTTCTATTTCTTATCTTAATATATATGGGTAATTTAAAAATAAGGTCCTTTAGTCTTCTTGAAAGATAAAAATCTATAGGCATTAAGTCCGGCGGCCTTGACGGCCAACAGCTAGGGCCGTAGT